TTTGAATACAGCCCCCTTCCTCCCCAAAAATCGATTATGCTTAGCACCCATCATGTACTCTGATACTGTGAAACCAAGCACTACTTCCCATTCAGTCGGCCTGTGTAGAGGGATGCTGTATGATTCCCCAGCTGACCTGTCATACACAACAGGAGAAAAAGGGGGCAGAAGCGTGCAAGACTATCAGAACACGTAGCCTTTTCTAAAGCAACAAGGACATCAAGAGCATTTTCATTGTGTGTTTATATCTGTTTTTTTTCACAGAAAAGCATTTAAAGCTCCATGCCATTTTGACAGAAAAAAAGCAGGGTGAAGCAATGTCAGTAAAGCTGTAATACTGTACTGTGGTATAAATAATTTCACACTGTCAGATTAATCACTGTCTACATTTCTCACCTTTTTACAAGCCTCCTCCTGACACTTGTAAAACTGCAATATCACCCAACACCCTAAAAGCTGTAAATGTAAGGTAATGTAAGATAATGGAGTTCTCTTAACACCTGTAACAAGTTGATCTCTCAGAGGGAATTCTAGTATTAGACTGCCCAATGAGGAAGAACACAGCATGTAACACATTCTTCTATCCATTCACAGAAGACGTCACTCGGATAACGTGTAATGCTGCTGAACTAGTTTTGTTGTGCAAAAAAATTCCCAGTATGGCTGCAAGCAACATCACAACAGTCTACTTAGACATAGCACCTAAAAAGATATTCTAGGCATGGTACCATAGGTGTCTGTTAAAGTTGAACCCCTAAAAAACAGCTAATTATACAATTAAAATTTGTTCTCATAGGCATACTTAAGTATATGCTTGTGTAAGGGCCATGCTTGCCCACACTAAGATGCACAGGTGGTCCGTGCATGGACACAGCCATTGCTTCAAATGTGACACCTGTGCGAGTCCCCGAATGCACAGTGTCTGTGTTAGGGTACCTGCACCCGCATGGCTGTCAAACTGTCTAATTGACACAAACAGGACTGCCTGCATAGGTATGCATGGAACATGGTTCTCACACGAGTGTACACTTAAGTGTGCCGCTGTGAATGACACCTAAAGTACATATATTGGAGGCGTTTATCCAGTCCATCTAGTCCTGTGATTTACACACAGGAGAGCCAGGTTAGTGACCCAACTTTTCTCTACTGAAGTTAGGACAGTCCATTGTAGACCATAAGTGCATGTCCTAGATTACCAATCACTAAGCATTATAGGGGTCACATGCCCCTATATACCAAGAAATACTGTGAATATGCAGCACGCAGTAGGTGTACTCAGTGGGACGTACTCAGTGGGACTTACAACAGATGGAATTTTCCAGTGTAGTTTAGCCAATGTTAATGTTTCAGAGGGGCACAGCCCACCCTACTCAAGACTGTCTCGTGAAAGATGGGCTGTGCCCCTACTGCATCCAGCATACTCCACATACTTTTTTCATGGATTGCACCTGGGTCAATATGTCTACAAGTGTGTAGGGTCCCCATCTCTACACTACCAAGAAATACTGGGTATGCTTCTAGTTGCTGAACAGAAAGAAAGCAGTAAGAAAGGAAGGGAGAGGAAAGGAAAGGAAATCTCAGTATGTGCTACTGGGTAGGAGGGTACTAAAGTGATCCTGTTGGTTTTTCCCAGCATAAGCAAAGTAAACATTTGCTTTAAAGGATAAATTCACCTTTGGGAACTTTAAGAAGTTCAAAGCAAAGATGTCAGAGACCTCATCAATTCAAACTACCAAATATAAAGCAGGCATTATGCATAAAACTCTCTTCCACCCTCCAAGACTGTATTTTTCACTCAGGTCCCCTATCACAATAAAGTGCCAGTTGGTTAGATCAAGAGGGGGTGAGGCTATACTGTGCTCAGTGGGAGATTAGGATCTGCACCTAACGTTGGTTGCTTAAATAAAAATAAATAAAAATGTGTGTGTGTATATATATATATATATATATATATATATATATATACACATACATACATACACACACACAGTATAGACATGCCAGTTTCAAAAAGATAACCTTTTTGCATACTGTTTTAGTATGTTTGGTTTAAATTGCCCATACTAGTAACAGGTGTACTTTAAATTTCATTTAATGTTAAGCTACATATCCCCTGAACCCTCCCTAAAAAAAACACTTGAGACCTGTAAAGATACTCAGAGATGATTGTTGCCCCATCATGGTACAGAAACTGTACCACCTATGGGTACTCTCCATGCCACTCACTAATAAGTGCGCCCATTTATGCCATTATAATTCTGAAGAGTTAATATGTGTAGGTCATATCTTTGATTGCCATGTCATGTGTTTGCGCATATTAAAACACTGCAGAAAATTAACACATTACACAAAGTGGTAACATAAAAAGGACTCTAGCTCAGATGTGACTAGCTCCAGTATACAGAACTCTCATGAGAGTCTACTGTTTTACAATGCACACAGCCTCAAGGTTACGCACATGCCAAAGATGAACATCACCAGATCTAGCTCAAGTCAGGTGTTGATGTCTATGGGTACTATCAGGCAGTGTAAGCAACTCCAGAGGGCTGTTCTCCATATAGAGCTAACAATCAGCCACGTTGGATGTTTTTGGCCGATCACTACTGTACTTGATTCCCTGGAATTAGACTGATGTCAAAGGTGCTGGCCTGCTTTCTCTCCTGTTACACCTAACAACTGCACATATTTGCTTCACCCAATGAGACATGTATATAGAGTGACTGTAAAAAAAGATTTTCCAGCAGCTGAATCACGTAAGAAAACGATTTGGCTCAGACATCCTACCTCTTCCATAGAAAAAAGCTGGTTACAGGTGAAGGGCCAGCAAACCCAAGATTTAAAGATTATTTAACTTCATAAAATACAGGCAAACCACCCTACAAAAAGATTTTCCAGCAGCTGAATTACGTCACACAATGATTTGGCTCAGACATCCTACCTCTTCCATAGAAAAAAGCTGATTACAGGTGAAGGGCCAGCAAACCCAAGATTTAAAGATTATTTAACTTCATAAAATACAGCCAAACCACCCTACAACTTTAATGTATATTTGTGGTATATACTTACATGCATATCTATTTATAATTTTTTATCATTATGACAATGTTTCATGTTTGTTCTTGTAGCCCTGGTGAAGGGAGAGTGGTGTCCTCCCGAAACATGTTGACTGTTTTTTCTTTATTACCAACACTTAAAATTATCTTGGATGTTTTCATCCGGTTTTGGTTTGGCACTTCTTATGTATTTCTATGGTTTTATGATTTCTATGGTTTGTACACATTTAACATGTCAGGCTATTGTTAGTCATGAGCTAAGCCATCGGATATGTGTAAGCTACATTTGGTGGTGTTTATGAGTGCTGACCTTTTATCTAAATTTGTCTTGAAATTCTAACTTTGATTGTGCATTGAGAGGAGAACAGTATATACTCAAGTGGTAAGTGTTGTTTTCCTGCCTGTCCTAAAGAGGCACAGAAATGGAAGAACTGCACAATGGTGGTGTCAGGAAGAAGCAGGTTTTCCAGGTAACACTAGGAATGCAAGAAATTTAGAGCAGTGTAGTTAGCATTTGCTTGTTTTCAATGTCATCTGCAGCTGTGAGTTCAGCATTCATTTGGCAATGGGAAGCCCTTAATTCAGTCGCAAAAAACAAAATATAACAGAGCTTAACGGGTGATAATTATATTGTATATAACATGGTAACCACAAGTATGGGCCAGCAATAACATTTTGGAAAACACAATCTCCATATTAGTCCAAACCCAAACAGCAACAGTATTGGAGTGGACAGAATTTCACAACACAGCATCAGCTATTTAGTAAATTAAATCTGCCCTCTTTCTAGCTTTGGTGGGAGTTTGGCATTAATTTATACAGAAGAATAAATCATTTTCAAGAGTGTACATATGTGTGTGTGACATTTATTTCTGTAATGCAGATGAAGGACATGTAAGTGGCCTCTGGTAGACTAAAATGTCATTACATAGATCACAAAATTCACTTACCTTCAAAGCTAATGTACGTAAAATACTGAATATCAAGGTCTGGGCAATGCATTGAAATCTATTTGTAGCATTCTTGGCTTTTTACAATATTTAAATATTTTAAAGTGTACCTGTTTTTTAGGATAAAATCTCAGATACAATCTCCCCTGCCCTCTTCATTAACTGCCCTACAAACCCCAGATGCAGACGCTCTATACACATACATAAGATATGGCATTATAGGTCATTTCTAGACAGATGTCTTTTTTTTAGTTTTGAGACTAAATTATAGCATGCTTCTTGCCAATATCAAATATACAACCTGAAATTTCTCTGAAAGAAAGAAAGAGCTCAATTGTTGTGGAATTAAATAAGATAGCCACGAATCCCATCAATATTTCAAATAGAAATGAAGAATAAAAGAAAAGTAGAACATAACCAAAAATTGCACTGCCATGTGCTGTGCTGCAACATCTAATAGGCAATTATAGGTGTGACTAAAGTATTGGGCCAGCAGAAAACATTATGCACTAATGCTGACAGGTTGGTCCTTTCTAGGGGCTTTTCAACTACAAAGCTCCAGGTAAACTGCAAGATCTGGACTGCTCTGTAAGATAACAAACAATTGTCTTCTCTGGGGGAATCAGACACGATGACTACAGACTGGATGGCCACCTAAAACTAAGCCGTCCACGGGTAACTCAATATCTCTAAAAGTCTCTTCCTCATACTTTAGCGTCTTGTGAAAACAATCAAATCATCTTCCAATTCACCATTAAGGCAAACCTCCATTGAAAAGTTATCAACGTTTACAAAGTTTTTCATAACTTTGCAAAATGTCCATTGTTGGATCTAAATTCTTATTCCCATTGCAGTTTCCAAGAAAAGCGAGATCGGCAAAGGAGCTAAAATGGGAGAACAATAAGAAAAGTGAAACAAAGGCGTCTTTTTCTTCTATGGGAATTGTTTATTTCCGTTTCCAATTTCTCAGTGCCGGTACACAGCACAATATTCCCCTCTAGTCAGAGGTGATGCCTTTGGCTCGCAGCTCCTCCTGGACTCTCAATAAGTAGGTGGGGTCAGGATAACCAAATCTGAAATCAAACAGAGAACATTTCCAGGTGAATTACATGCAAATGCAGAACAGTATATCAACAACTCCAGTCAAACTCAAACACCTTCTGTGAAAGTTCATGCAAGCAACGCAATTTATTTATCCAGGGATTTTTTATCTGTAGTGTAATGCCCAATGGCTCCTGATAACAGCTTTAATGGAAACATTTAAGTTTGGGATTGTGGATTTCTAGGCTAAGAATTCCCAGCTCTGCCCAGGAAATGTACCTCATTTCTCAGAGAAGGGGGCTGCAGAGCACAGACTGACAAATCCCTGACCTGTAGTCCTTTGAAGTCTCTACTTATCCTATTTGCAGGAAAAGGTATATAAATCTCATAATTCGGCTCCATGTACACTGCAGCTGATAAACTCACTTTTAGGAGCTTTTCTGTGTCTTTTTCAGCAGCCCCTGAACTCTCCCTAATGTTTTCCTATGTGTCCATGTACACACACCAAACTTGCATTCAGGAGTAGGTTTTATCAGCGTTTTAAACGTGTGTAAATGCGGCTAACTGCATTTATAAGCATTTGTAAAATGTTTTTAACTCTTCCATTTCCAGATGCTGTCCAGAGCCTTTTTTCATCATGACAAATGTATGCAAATCATTTTCCCGGTACTCAAATGGACCTGGTACACCATACTTTGAGGTTTCACATGAAAGAAAATATGTTAGACACTGCTGCAATCATTTCTGCACAGAAATGAGCTGGAACACATCCAAACATCACAAAAAAAAAAAAAAGACAGCTAATCTCAACAAATACTGCTCTCTCTGCTCCTACTCTCCATTTCTCTCAAAATGTCTGAAATAGTTAATTTTTTACTGTTTTTCAGTGCATTCTGGGCATTTTGGAAGGTCTCCCGAGATTATCTTTAAAAAAATGCTTCTAAACGCTCATAAACGTGCATAAACGCAGTATGCAAACCTTGGCTAAACACGTTTTTTAACCTACGTTTTCCAGCAGTCAGTTTTCTGCATTCAGAAGTGTCCCGTGTACATGGAGCCTAAGGGAAATTTTGACCTTAACATAGTGGCAATGTTTCCTGCCTCGAATTAGCAGTTCCTAAAATTGTATTTCAAATGAAATGACAGCTCCACAAAGGAGCTCTGGTGAAGTAAGATAAATGGCAATGTAAAGCATCACGAATTTCAATGCCACACTTCTAAATAGTTTTCTGAATCCAGGAGCCAATTCACTTAGAGATAAATACCACCATATTTTGCCTTACATTTACTCATGTGGCATTTATCGTAAAAGCAGCCAATTGATTAAAACACATGCATTATTTAACAAATGCGTTAAATCTTTATGTTTAGTGATTTTTAGATTTTAAATTTAGAGTTATTCTTTTTCACAGGCTAACACTGCACCTGAGGAAGAAAAAATCCTGTATGTGAACACAGATAGAAATATTGTGAACACATTCACAGAACAAACTCCCTCTGGTGCAATGATACAGCTTGTTTACTTTGGGTTAAAAGTGGTTCTAAAGACACAAAAAGTTTTTTTGTAAAGCTAGCTGTTCCCTAAGACTCCCCCGCCCTAAATACTTGAGTTCTGTATCAATCTAGCACTGTGCCTATCTGCAGCAGCACAGGCCTCTTTACCTGGTCTCACAGACACAGAGGCAGCAGCAGGATGTCATTGGCCAAAAAGATTGAGAAAGGTGCGGGTGGGTGGAGCTGAGCCAGGCTGTGTGTGTCTATGAACAGTGGCTTGCATTGGGGGTACATGGAGAAGAGAGTGCCTGCGGGGAACCCCAGAAGAGGAGGAAAAGAGTCACTTTGTGCAATACTACTGCACAGAGCATTTAGGTATAAACTTTTTTTTTTTTCATTTTATTAAAAATAACGGAAGCCTTTAGGATCACTTTAAGACACAACATTTCCTCACTGATACATTGTTGTCTTTTAAGGCCAGTTCACACCAGAATGTAGTGGGGGGGAAAGGTGCATTCCGTGTGCATTTCCTGCACTGCGGTCAAACACACAGCCCTTGCAATCTGCATGCAGGTGCCAATATAATGTTAATGGCACCCCAAACGCAGAACAGTGTCAAAGTGGTTAGCACTTCTGACTAGCAGTACTAGGGTCGTTGGTTCGAATTCTAACCACGTCACTACCTGCCCAGAGTTTGTATGTTCTCCTTGTGCCTCCCTGGGTTTCCTCCGGGTACAGACACTCCAAAGACATGCTGGTAGGTTAATTGGCTCCAGTCTAAATTGGCCCTAGTATGTGAATTAGGGACCTTAGATTGTAAGCTCCTTTATGTGAATGTATAATATATATGTGAAAAGCACTGTGTAAATTGATGCCACTATATAAGTACCTGTAATAAATAAATAGCAAATTAAGTGCATTTGCAGGCACCAAATCACATGGTACCACAGTACCATATGATTTGATGCGGCAAGTTTTTTTTTAGAAGTAGTGCACATACTACTTTTCACACGTTTCGGTGTGATTTGCAGCTCTTTCAAATGATGTGTGATCCCAGAGTGCCTACTGGCCAGTGCAGAATTCCCCTTTGTACATTCCTGAAATATTAAGTGCCTACATCAGGAGATAAATAACAAATGTGTTTTAATATTTTACTTTGATGAATTGACTATTTTTGATATTGTATGCATTATTTCCAACAAAAAACAAAAATAATGCATGCAACAATTGCTAGTGAATTGACACCTCAATCTTTAACCAGCAAGTCTTCCGACTTTCAATTTTTTAGCTGATCTCCAGGCATAAAAATAAGACCAATTAATACAGGTTTTGTGTTCATTAAACAAAAAAATAAAAAATACAATGTCAGCAGGGCAGAGGATGGTGTCAGTCAGTAGAGCAGTACGTAGACCGAGCCATTAGGGAAGTGGACTTTGTCAGTAGGGCAGTGCAGTGTCAGTCAGTTGAGTTATGGATGGTGTAAGTCTCAGTCAGTATAGTGGATGGTGTAAGTGTCAGTCAGTAGAGTAGTGGATGGTATAAGTAGGGCAGAGGGTAGTCTCAGAACTGCAGTGAATGGTGTCAGAAGGGCAGTGGATGGTGTCAGTAGTTTTATTTTTGTTATTTTATTTTTTACAATTTTATTTTTTTATTATTTTTTACAGTTTTCAATTTTTATAATTTTATTTTTTTAATTACATTTCACAATTTTTTTTTAACAGACCTGTTGGGGGGGGGGGGGGGGGGGGGGCTTTGGTAAAATATCAGGAGTCTAAACAGACCCCTGATGGATCACATTTGAGACAGAGAAAGGAGATTGAGGACACAGTCCTAATCTTAATATCTGCAGCCTCAGGAGGAACTCTGTATTGTCTTCTTGTTCATTCACAAACCGAAGCATAGTAAACCAGGGGAGCACACAAGGGAACCCGAGCAGCAGAAGAAAAGAGATTCTGGATAGGACGGAGATGGGGGGGTGGCATTTACTGGAACCGATCCCATGTATTTTTCCCCTGCAGCAGCTGAATTCCGGCAGGAGGTAGAGGAAGAGAAGCTGGCTTTCAGCTGCTGCAGGGGAAAAATACAGGGATCAACTCCAGTAAATGTCACCCCCGCTGTCCCCCCGGCCAGGTTCTGGGGAAGGGACGTGGTCTAACTGTCACCTGCCCAGGATTGTCAGGTAGACTGTGAGGTCGCGAACCCCATAGTAGGGTGTTAGTTTACCTTTTTTGTGAAAAGGTGAACTTGCACCTTACCTATTTTCAGATTTACTGATAAACACACATAAGAAGTATGTTCCATGATGGTCTAGCACTATTACTATTTCAAATCAACAGCAGGGAGGGAGCTTTTGGAATTGAAACTATGATCTCATACTAAGTATTGGTACTATGATCACACTGTGCCTCTTCTGCACTGCTTTGTACAAGCCTTGATAAATACAATCAAATATATAAATGACAATGAACTTGCTGCTGCTTCTGTACATGTCAGAATCATGGCAGTCATTTCAATCTAACGTGAACAGAAAAATTCTATTTTTATCTTGGACACAAAACATGGCTTCTCTTTCTCTAGACTGGTGAGATCTCTGCCATGGATTGTGTGAGCTGCAATTCGGAATGAATGTTGTAATAAAGCACAGTCATACCAGGCCATAAAAAATCCATTTATCATCTCCCATGAAAGCAATTTTGTTCTCACATAATCAAATAAGCTTTTCATTTGTGATACAATGCAATATGAGTTTCATTTTATGGACTTGTGAAAGCCCTATATTATGATTTAGTTAATGGCCTGACAAAATCAGTGCTACCCCACCCTACATCATTGCCGGGGTTTAAGTAAACATTAAAACAGTCTATTTTATTACTGCTTCTAACTGTTCTATCCTGGGAAAACAGGATAGCATTTTAACAAAATTATTCTAGATTAATTTAAAACTAGTTTAGGCTATCCGCAGACATGATCTGACAGCTTCTAAAGGCAATCAAGTAGTCTTTGGGTACCACAAACTTAAAAACCAGGGGGAAGTCTATATAATGTCTCAGAAACTGGTAGCATGGAGCCAAACCAGCTGCATAGCCCCATGTCTATCCCACTGACACTTATTTTCTATACAGGAAATGACTGATCAGTGGCAAACAAGTCACAAAACCTCTTAATGGGATCACAGGCACTTCCCGTGGTTTGATGAGGTTCAAGGAAGTTATCTCCAAAATGTTTTCACATAACAAATAATCTGCCCACAGAATAGGTGATGGGCAAACTAGACCACCTTGCAAGTCTGGTTTTAGTTTTTGGGAAAACTACATGAGAATATACTATGAGTGAGCAAGTATTTTTATGGGAATAGAAAGTCTTACAGTTGTGGTCCTCCGGTGCAATTAGTTTTATGGTGAATGTCATTCCACGTTATAACATTAGGTCTTCCTGTAGTCATTGAAGTCCCAATGGTGAAGGTCAAACGTTGGTCAAAGGCTTTCCTAAATAGCGCCAGAACTTTGTTCCCCTCAGGGCAATCAGGTAAGTAAGCCACACGAGTGGTTCCTGGATATCTAACACCAGGATTCGGGTGTTCTGTCTGTAAAGAAATAGAGAACAAAGGTCAGAAGTATATAACACACACATAAATGCAGGGTTACAATAAATACACATAGAAATCTGGTTTATTTTATCTGTTTGCATAATTAGTGCGCAATAGTCACCAAACCAAAGCGTTCACAAATGCTAAGCTTTCTGTTGAAGATTTAACCTTGGCAACACTCGGAGCAAATTTTGGCTGGCACCTGATGAACAAGCCAAAAGGCGAGCTGTGGGTGGCCCTGTTGTCATCTTCCCACCTGACATCTTTCAATCTAAAAATCAAAGGAGCTGGCCAGATAATGGTCGTTCAAACAGCCACTGCCCAGGTATTCTGAGCTTTGTGGGTGCCAGCTGTTGGAATACAGTAGTCGGCAGGGAAGATTCCTCCATCTACGCTGTTTAGAGACAGAAATCTTGCAGTGTATGGACAGCTTTTTTTTTTTATTTAGCACTGACATATTGCACAGAACTTTACAGAGTACACAGTAAACATCACACCAGTTTTTTCCTCAAGGAACCTACAATGTTCTTACTCCATACCATAAATATCCATGAGCTCTGGAACACCCAGAGGAAATCCACACAAACAATGGAAGAAGACATACAAACTGCACCAGAACAAGCGCCCCAGCAGAATTTCAGCGTGGGCTTTTAAAATACAAAAAAAAAAATCAGCTGGCAAAGGCTCATTATCTATCATCTATAAAAGGTCATACATGTAACAGTAATGAAACTGTGAGTCAGCAGCCAATCAAATACAAGGTGTCATTTTTTTGTACCGGTCAAAATGCATTACAAATAACCTCCTCCCCCCAAAACATAAAAATTTAAATATTCTTTACAGTAAATTGGAAAATCAGACACATTTCTATGACTTTTTGAATATTGTGGAGAAAGGTTGAAACCTCTGTATTCTTGTTTGCGTCTTTGGGAAGATCTCCCCTCACTTCCTGTCCTGGTGACCATACAGGAAGTGTGAGGAAATTTCCTTCAGAGTGACAAAACATTGGCTGGAGTTCCAATTTAAAGTACTCTAAAATAATGTTGATGACCAATACTTCCTTTGCTGCAGGATACTGTGATAATTTCTGTGACAACATGTCTTGGCTGAGCTCCCTGTCATACCTAAAACCATTTTAGTGTTGGATGAAGTAGACTTAGAACCTCTGCCAGGTTTTTCTTCCTATCTGTGTCCCTGCTGGGGATATTACCCTTATATGTGCTAGTGACCATTGTAGTGAAAGTGAAATTAAATCCAAAATACTGAGATTCCACCAAAAAACAAGAATTGAGGGGAAATCATCCAATGAGCACACTTTTTTGGATGACCACTGTGTAATAGAGGAATTTCCTATCACTTTATGTTGTTTGTTGCAACACAATGAGCAAACAAAAGAACACCACCCCCCCCCCCCACACACACACACGTTTTGGCTTTAGAAATACTTTGATTAGAGCTGAGCTTTTCCCTAGTCTTGCCATATTTCCTGTCTGGGGCTTTAACCCTTTTACTGCTGCTGCCATATAGGTTTTTAAAGTGTCACCTATGGAAAATTTGGAGTATTAGGGTTTGCTGTCATTTGGTGGACATATTTGGTGTCTATTTACTAGTCTCAGTCTGATATTTAAAGAATCTAAAGAAAAATGTAAAGAATATAAAAAAGTGGTAATTTTATTGTGTTTTTGTGCACAAAAACTAATTTGCAGACACCATTTTATTGTATGGGTCCTCTGCTTTTAGAAAATGTATACGTTTTATACCCTGATTCAACCACATCTTGAGTATGTGGCCCAGTTCTGGTCACCAGTCCTCAGGAAGGATGTGCTTGAGTCCAGAGAAGGGCAACAAAATTAATGATTGGGCTGGAGGAACCAGAGCGACTACAAACATTAAACTTAATCTCCTTAGAGATGCGACCCTTAAGAGAGAATATTATTATTATTATTACTATGAGTTTATATAGCGCCAAAGGGTTTGCTCAGCACTGTACAATAGGGGGGACAATACATGGCACAGTACAACAACAACAAACAACGTACGAGGGGTAAGAGGGCCCTACTCTTACGAGCTTACAATCTAGGAATATGACTGCAATACACAACTCTTTACATGGTGACTGTCACTGTGAGAAAACAAATGAATCCAAGATCTCTAAAGAAGACATGTGGCCACACAATGAAGTTGGATGAGAAGAGGTTCAATCTCAAACTGTGTAAGGGGTTCTTTACTGTTAGAGAGGTGAGGATATAGAGTTCTCTTCCACAGTTGGTGGCATCAGTGAGGAGTGCAGATAAATTCACAAAAACGATTAGATGAGTTTCTTAGCAAACACAATGTACAGGTATAATGAAATAGGTAGTGCCAAAAACATACACACACACACGTGTATTTTACCAAGTATGTAACTGTTTTGTGGATTTAAGTACATTTCTGTGTAGGAGAATGGCATTTTAACATGTGTGCTCTGGCAGTGAAGGGGTTAAGACTAATCTCTAAAATGCAGGGGTATATATTCACTAACCACGCTAGAAAGAATTGTGTTTGTGAACACAAAGAATGATTTATGAAAACTGCACCAAAGTAGAGCAGTTTGCTGCAGTTTTCATTTATCAGCCCCATTGACTGGATGCTATAGGTCATGCAGACAATTTCTGTTTAGACTGCTATGATTCTTATACAGAATTTACCCTTACATACTAAACCCTTCAATTATTACCAGGTTATTATGAAGCAGATGCTTATTTTACTGTATCAAACAAATATTTTGATCTACAATACACAGTAATCCTTTTCATGGCTTATGTATGTCCCATTTCTCCTGAGTCACAGCTTAGTGGTAATAAGCCACAAAACACATTATAGGTTCCTTGGGATGGATTACTGTTGAGGTGTATATAAAATGTCCCATTGTGTAACTGAATAAATAGTCTGTGCGCTCCAGCTAAGCTTTAAAGATGGATTAGAGGTAGTTGGAAGAAATTGTTTATTAACATGGCAGGGAAACGGGAGTAAAGTCATTTGTATTTAGGAAAGGTATGCATGTTGCCAATGAGAAGTAATGGACTCACACAAGCAGCCATTGTCAACTGAGATTTTTCTTGATTTCAATCGATTGGGTGATTATTATTTAAAATGTGTGTTACTTAACGAGTCCATACAGGAAAGGCAAGCCTTAGGTAAACAGAGGGAACATTTAAACTCCATATCATAAGTCAAAAAGTAGAACTAGAGGTGTTAGCTCTTCAAAAGACTTTGTCAAGCCCACCATGGAGAAAATGGAGTTCAAAGTACAACTGGTACACCATACCATATCTGCAGAATGTGAACAGTGATCACTTCTTTTTCCTATGAAAAAATGATCACTTCAGAAGTTTACTGTATTTTCCTGGTCATTTCCAAAGATCCTCCACTCATTACTCATTTGGTGTTCATAGGCCATGCACAGGTCTTGTCTTAGCTCAAATCTGATTAACGTCAATGACAAACCAATTCATTGTGCTCCCAAACCACAGATCTTCATATTTCAAGTCTTAGTGCTCTGTGCTGGCCAACTAGATAGTAAAGCCCCATTCCTGAGCCAATGAAAGTCAACTGGAATCTTCTCTTCCTTGTCTTTTAAAAGACTAGTCATGCCATGGTTGAGAACAGGATAAGGGTACAAGAGGTTACAGTCTATATAGGCCATAAAAACAACAACTTAGAGCTTGTTCACACTTGTGTGAAGACCGATGTTTTACTGCAGTAGAAAAAGCCAGTCTCTGCAAGGGCACATATCTGCATTCTTCCACACCACAGTTCTGTGTGTTTTCTTGTGTGGCTACTGCGAAAAAGCCCTTGGGGTCTAATGAACAAAAAATCTTACAATGCAAATGTACAAAGCACTAGGAACCATACATCACCTCTGTATCCTTGCATTTAAAGACTTTTTCTTGACCAATAGAAGGTATCACTTTGACTATTTTTTTGTTTGTAACCTATTCATTATTTACAGGCTAATGCAGTACAACTGTTTTTTGCTTTATGCAACACAGAAAAAACATTGGCTGCATACTTATTAGTAGAGATTAACAAATCTTCCTGGGTTCACGTCACAGGAGGTTTGCTGACCCATCATGAAGTCTGCAATCTTGAACTTAGCATCCAACCCAGCTGAAGGGTATGGGAGGTGAATCCTGATACTAAATTCTGGCTAAGAGACATGCTATTATCACAAAAAAGGTCATGGGTAGCTATGGGGAGCTGGGCAGTGCCATGAGGGACATGTACCAAAGGGTCACATACTTCATTACAGGTAAGTTATGTGACTGAATTTTTTTAAAACTAAACTTCAGCTTTAAAGTGATTCTAAACGTTTTCTTTAAAATAACAAACATTATATTTACCTGCTCTGGTATTGCGCAGACCAGCCTCTATCCTCCTCTTCTCGAATCTCCCGCCGGCACACCTGGCCCCTCCCTCCTGCCAAGTGCTCCCATAGCAAGCAACTTGCTATGGGGCCACTCGTGCGGGCTCACTCCCCAGCCTTGCTGCCTGTCTCTATTGACACAGACCGCAGGACTCAGGCCCGCCCCCCTGCTCTCTCATCACTGGTTGTCTCTGAAACAATGAGGTTGGAGAGAGCAGAAAGAACCTATGCTCTCATGCACATTGCTGGATTGAGATCGGGCATAGGTGTGTATAAGGGTAGGGAGCTGCGTGCAGAATGTTTTTTACTTTAAAGTGGTTGTAAACCTAAAAAACACAAATCAATCTAATTCTACAGTTGAATAGATTGTACTTTTACTAAGCATTTGAGCTTAGTTTGGTATCTTGAAGCAATCCCCTTCTCCAAAAATACCCCCTGCTTTTCTGAACAGAATAAATCCAACACAAGCAGAAAAATGTTTTCGTCACTCCCCTTCTCCTATGAGTGACAGGCTGTGCTGAAGACGAGACCAGCATGAGCCTCCATGTAATACACTGCAAAGGGGTGGGGGGTGGATGTCATCTCCCTGCTG